GGGGGCTTGCGTGTGCTGTGATGCTGGTAGCTACTGCACCTGTATTCAAATACCAGTAGGGTCACCCAGAGCAGACAAGTTTCAGCTAAGCTTCCAGACTAAGACAGAATAGGAAGAAGGACCCAGCAGTCTACTTCTGAAAAGATTTAGCCAGTGAAGACCTTATGAATAGCAGCAGAACATTGTTTGATATAGCGCCGGAAGATAAGCCCCTCAGGTTGGAAGGCACTCAAAAGATGGTTGGGGAAGAGCTGCCTCCTCAAAGTAAAGTCGACCTTAATGACGTGGATGGAGTTAAGCTTTCGGGACCTTCATTTGCTGACATGGCACGTCTCAAAATGAGAAGAAACAGCTGCAAACATCCATTAATAATCAGAACATGGAATGTAGGAAGTATGAATCAAGGAAAATTGGAAATCGTCAAAAGTGAAATGGAACACATAAACACTGATATCCTAGGCATTAGTGAGCTGAAATGGACTGGTATTGGCCATTTTGAATCAGACAATCATATGGTCTACCATGCCGGGAACAACAACTTGAAGAGGGATGGTGTTGCATTCATTGGCAAAAAGAACATTTCTAGATCTTCCCTAAAGTATGACACTCTCAGTGATAGGATAATATCCACACGCCTACAAGGAAGATCATTTAATATGACTATTTTTCAAATTTATACACCAACCACTAAGGCTAAAGATGAAGAAATGGAACATATTTACCAACTTCTGCAGTCTGAAATTGATCAAACATTCAATCAGGATGCATTGACAATTATTGGAGATCGGACTGTGAAAGTTGGAAATAAAGAAGAAGGATCGGTAGTTGGAAAATATGGCTTTGGTGATAGAAACGTTGCCAGAGATCACAGGGCTGAATTTTGCAAGACCAAAGACTTCTTCACTACAAATACCTTCTTTTGCCAACATAAATGGCGACTATACATGTGGACCTTGCCAGATGGAATACACGGGAATCAAATCGACTACATCTGTGGGAAGAGACAATGGAAAAGCTCAATATCATCAGTCAGAACAAGGCCAGGGGCCTACATGGAACAGACCATTACTTGGTATAGGGGTTAGGATTTCAACATATATTTTGGGAGGACACAATTCAACCCATAACACAATCCAATTACCAGTTTTCATAGACATGGGAGCCCCAACATTGCCACCCACAGAGAAGGAATATCCACCATTTTCCTTCACGGAAAATTCAAAGTCTAGCCACTTACCCCTCGATGCTGATGAGGACCTGACATGGACCACTGACTCTGAGACCATCCTCAGCCTGCATCCACTCAACACTCAGGGTTAGCCAGATACTATCCAGACAGAAAGGGGTTCTCATCTACCACTCACGTACTTTGCCCCAGTGAAGGCACTGCGGAACAGACCTGAACCTGCTCCTGACATCCAGGAAATAGAACTAACTGTCCCCAAACCAAGCAACCCATTTGCACTACACCCAGTGGACAATGCTGCTGGCTGCTGATGACCTCCGACTCTACTCTGTAGTTAGCTTAGAAGATCCCACCCTCACCAGTGTTGACTACATGTCCATTGATGTTCACCCTAGTCCTGATAATTATATCCTGCTACTGAGAAGGTATGTCTGGAAACAGCATGCCACAGGCATACCACAGGGAGACACAAAACGGGTCAGACTAGGAGCAATGGGAACCACACTGTTTAGTATTTGGATTTGTTCAAGCCTACAAATATGACAACAGACATCAACACTGAGTTACCCTATCTCTACTACTTCTAGCAACACCCATTCTGGCTTGTTGTTGTTAGCTGCCATGGAATCAATTCCAACTCATGATGGCAAGTTTAACCTCATGCTTAGCTTGCTTCTGCCAACCTGATTTTAATACACATAACATAATACCTCTCTCCTGGCCACCTCCCCCCATAAACCTCACCATGATGGTTAAGACTGTGTGTCAACTTGGCTGGGCCATGATTCTCAGTGTTTATATGTGATCACTCCCTAATTCAATTTGCTGTGAGTAGCCAATCAGATGAAAGGGAGTTTCCTTGGGGGTGTGGCCTGCATCTGAATATAATCAGACATTCTGCCTTTTTGCTCACTCTGGATCCTGCAGCTGCCTCCTGTCATCTCACCTCTGGTTCTTGGAACTTCAGCTGTCAGCTTATCTGCAGAACTTGGGATTCATCAATCTTCACAGCCTGTGAGCAGAGCTCTGCTCTCTGACCTGCGGATCTTGGATTCGCCAGCCCCTGCAGCTACATGAATCAGAAGAAACCTTGCGGTCTTGCCTGCTGATCTTGGAATTTGTCAACCTTCACAGCCTATGAGTGGGAGCCCGGCTCTCTGATCTGCCAATCTTGGGCTTGCCAGCTTTTGCGGATGTGTGAATTGGGAGAGGCATCTACCCTGATCCACGGACTTGGGACATTCTAGCCTCTACAATCACGTGAGCTGTTTCCTTGATATAAACCTTTCTCTGTACATATATATTTGCTTTACTGGTTTTGCTTCTCTAGAAAACTCAGCGTAAGACACTCACTTATTTAAAGGAATCTATCCCCCTAACCATCAACCTCCAACAACAATATCCAGAGGCTAATCTCACACAAATATGCTGGCAATGGTGGGCTGAGCACATAAACAATTTTAGTCGACCTAGGTGCTGAATACAAGGCAGATAATACACAAGTCTGTTTGACTGTAACATTATACGCTTCTGTTAACACCACCTGGAGTTGCACTAAGCCACACAAACTTATCTTTAGAGGAACACAAGAGAGTACAAGCAGCACAGGGAGCCTGGTGGGTCTGTACAGGAATCAAGTGTCTTCTTCTATCATAAGCTTTCCCTGGATAATATTTCCTGCACTTGGGTTTGGCTCAGAGCCCTCCAAGAACTTGCCGTCCCCCAAAAACCACAGTAGCCACAACTCTCCAGTGCCACTTTCCAATAGTTCACCTGATACTAACCATCCTAGGATTATTAATTTTGGGGTTAGTAGAAACAGCACTTGTATGGGACACTACAGCACAATTAAAAGAAACACAGATAGCCAAATCCAAAGACAAATTAAACAGCCCAAGGGTAGAAATCTTAGACAAATCTCACTGTATGTACATGTCTGTCTATCTGCAATGCATGTGCAGACAGGCTGTGCCTCAAACTTCCAGGCAGCCATTAGACTTCTAGGAACGAGACATATACACCCAGTGGCATCAACCATTTCATGGGTGCTATGTTCATCTGTACTCAAGCTGGACATAAGCGATACTTTCACAGTGTTGGCAAAGTGAAAGCCACTATTATTATTTATAGAAAGTAAACAGCCAATAATAACAACAGATTCTCAAAGGGGAAATGCTCACACTTCCCCCATATTACCCACATCCATTGCTGTGCAGGCATGCCTGTGGTTCAGTTCAGATGCTGTGCTCATGTCACCACTGCCTCAGGCTACCACCACGCTGCTGGGGGTGGGTACTGCGTAGCTCCCAAGGCTTCTGCTCTGCGACTGGGCTTCACTGGGCCTTGCTGCCTGCTGGCTGGAAGACCTCTCAACAGGATCTTCCAAGCCTCTGCCACTGGGACCTTCTAAGCCTCTTGTCATGGTTTGAATTATGTCCCCCCAAAAATGTGTGTGTCAATTTGGCTAGGCCATGATTCCCAGAATTGTGTGGTTGGCCTCCATTTTGTGATTGTAATTTTATGTTAAAGAAGATTAGGGTGGGATTGTAACACCACCTTTACCCAAGTCACATCCCTGATCCAACGTAAAGGGAGTTTCCCTGGGATGTGGCCTGCACCACCTTTTATCTCAAGAGATAAAAGGAAAGGGAAGCAAGCAGAGAGTTGGGGACCTCATACCATCAAGAAAGCAGTGCTGGGAGCAGAGCGGGTCCTTTGGACCGGGGTCCCTGCGCAGAGAAGCTCCTAGTCTGGGGGAACAATGATGAGAAGGCTGAGAGCTGACACACTGAATTTGGACTTTTAGCCTACTTTACTGTAAGGAAATAAACTTCTCTTTGTTAAAACCATACAACTTCTGGTATTTCTGTTACTGCAGCACTAGATGACTAAGAAACCTCTGTTGCCAGCTCCCTCCCATGCTATCTGATTCTGCGGGGTTCTTGTCTCCACACTACTCAGGCCCCTGCTGCCCAAGAGGTAAGGTGTGCAACTCCTGCACGGAGCACTCTCACTACACTACAAGGGCTCCATGTGTATGTATACATGTGTGTGTATATATACAAATATATATTTAAATAAACATTAAAACTATTTTAAAAGATTTAGATTACTAATAATAAAAGATTCATTACAAACAACATATTATCATTTTATATAATCAAACTATATATTTTTAAGTATTTTAAAACGATATCATTAATCCTAGTAATGTTGCAGTGATACTAGGATACTCAGGCAATAGATTTGGCCACATCCAAAACTTTTGTAGACCTTTCCATCACTTTATCTATAATCGTATATGTTAACTTGTATGGTCTATTACTCTAATCCATGACTGCTGGAATTGCTAAATTGATAAACACCTTTTGGAAAGCAACTGGCGACACGTATCTTAAAAATCTTAATAATATATTAAAGGCTTACGCCCTTTATCCCAATGTTACCACTTCTCAAAAATTATCCTGGGGGGAAATCTAAAATAAGAAAAACAATATACAATAAATTGCTCATTCAAGCCTGTGTATAATAGAGAAAGTTGGTGACACTAAAGAGGAATGGTTAAATTACAGTGCATTTACTCAACAGAATATCATTTGGTCATTTGTAATGATTATGAAACAAAATACAAAAACATTCATACGTTAGATTAAATAAAGAACTGTATGTATCAAAGCTAGCATTAAAACCAAAAAAACCAAACCCGTTGCCATTGAGTAGATTCCAACTCACAGCGTCCCTACAGGACAGGGTAGAACTGCCCCATAGGGTTTCCAAGGAGCGACTGGTGGATTCGAACTGCCCTTTCCTTTTGGTTAGCAGCCAAATGCTTAACTACTAAGCTACCAGGGCCCCCAAATTGGCATTACTACATAAAAATTCAATACTACTAGGAAAGAAATATGGAAAATGAGTTCTATTTATTGGGTGGGAAGATTATAAGCCAATGTCTCATTAATAGACCAGATCTCCCAAAACACTGTACTTTTTATTTTTACAAGCTATTAACATATAAGTTTGTTCGGTAGTCTTATCAAAAAGCATTTTCTTTTATTTCAAATGTCCAAAGTTTGGCAAATATATAAGTGGAAGCCAGTGTGATCTGCATGTGCCTGCTAGTGTATCACTGCACTTTTTATAATGTATTTGATTACGTTTTACTAGAGATTCCAGGATTGGAGAATTAAATATTAACAAATTAAAATTAAATGTTAGCAATCATCCCAGGGTCTTAGAGCAGCGTTGACCATTTCTAGCACTCTATTTGATCACTGGTTTTATTACTATTTTGATTTTTAAGTGCTTTAAATTTTCAAAGTACATCGTAATTATTTATTTAAATTACTCCTGATGCCTGCACTTCCTCAGAGATCAGGACAAAGGAGACACACAAACATCCACAGAGAATCAGCCACTATTCTTATCAGTTACCAAGTTCCTACGCTCTATTCACAGGATTCGGAAATACTGCACGATTCTGCACTTACTCTCAAGAAGCCAGGGGGTTAAAAAAATACCAACAAAGCTGTGTAATTACAGACGAACGAAGATACCGGGGTGGGGGGGGATTGGAAAGCAGGGCGCCACTCTGCTGCGCGAGATACCAACAGCCTATAAAGAGGGCTTAAATTCCAGAGAAGGCACTTCAGTCCCTCGATACCTTTACTTTCTGCTCTTTAAGTTTCCTTCTACAAAAACTCGGGGTCCACCAACCCTGCAGCCACTCGCCTCGGTCCGACCTATTCCTGCCCCCGCTCGTTCCGGCTTCCAACCGCTTCTTCCGCCCTTTCCCATCTCCTCTGCGCCTGCGCGACCGGAAAATTCGCGAACGTTCCTGAAGTGGAACAAGCCGTTTCCGGAAGCCGGCAGCCGCCCTAGCCGTCACACCGGTCCCTGCGACAAGGCAATTATAAACGTGCTCTCCTGTGGTTCCCGGCGTTTTGGCCTTACTTCTAACTGCGAAAAGATATGGCCCTGCTGTGCTACAATCGAGGCTGCGGCCAACGCTTCGATCCCGAGACCAATTCCGACGGTAAGAAAAACGATTCATCAGCCCTCTCCTCTCCCTCCCCATCTTTTCAGCCCCGGGGAAGCCCTGTGGGCCAGAGGGCGTCCCGGAGCCTGTCGTTCTCCTGCAAACCGCCACCACTCCGTCCGCGGTCAGGGTTCCTCCAGGGCCGCCCTCGGCTGCCCGCGCAGCCCACCTCTTCCCTTGCGCTCGGCGGCCACTCGCCGAGCGCCCTGGAAACGGCACCAACCCGCGGTCTGTCTGCATCCGCCCCAGGAGACGTTCCCCTGGACGCACGTGGTTCCGCAGTCGCCCGCTGACTCTCTTTAATTCAACTGGAATTTAGAAACTCCCTCGGCCCTCCCAATTTTGGGGGAAGCAAAAGTTAAAAGAGGTACTGCTGGGCTCGTTTTGCTCTTAGCTTCACCATTATTGGCTGTGATTTCGTGTGTGTGTGTCAGTGTCTGTCACAGAGACCAAGAGATAGGAGGAGGGGGGCTGTTATCCTAGCAGTTAAAATCTGCTTTGTTGTATTAGAACAAAAGTGTGTCTAAAAGCCTACTGTGGGCCTGTTCTGTCTACCCACCGTTACAAACTTTTTTTTTTTTTAATGTTCTTGGTTAGGAAAATTATGTATCTTGACACTGTTAAGTTTTGATACACTCGCCGCCATCGTGTATTCGTTATAGTTTACTTAGTAGTAGTATTTGTTTTCGCTTTGGCCTCTGTATGTTAATACTGTGTCAACTTCAGGATAAGGTGAGTGAATGTTCTCGGCAACTTCTAAGTGTAGAGTTAAAGGTGTAAAGTGGAAGCTAGTGACTAGAGTATGTGAATGATAAAAAATGACCAATGAATTTGATTGGTGAATGGAATAAAGTAGTGAGTTTGTCCCGTGAATATTGTGGAAAGTGACAACACGTTCTCAAATTCAACAAGCATTTATTGTACTTTTCTGTATGCCGAACATTGATCTATCACTTTATTACAGTATCGCATTTAATCTTCACAACTCTGAAGTATACCTTATTGGCCCTATTTAATAGACAAACCTAGTTCAAGGTGGTAGCAAAAGGAAGCTCAGCATTATGAAGAAGGTTCAAATCTATGCCTTTTAAAACCTTTTTCACCTGAGAGTCTAAAATATTTGTTTTGAGACTCAAGTGGATTAGAGACATTTAAAATGAGAAGACCACCGGTACAGAACTCTGAAGGAGGAGAAACTAAATCTTTATGCAGTACTCAAGTTGCTGTATTTGAAGTTATCATGATAGAAATATGAAATTACTCAAGGTGGGGGGAAAGTCAGGGTTTGAGTGATCACACACGTAGAGGAATGGAGACTTATTAAGTTCTTTGCTGTTGGTACCTTATGTAAAAAGTGTATTGCCTTGGTGTCTGCATATTCTGTTTTCATACAAATACAGTAGAAAGACTGATGTTTTGCTGCATGGGACAGTATTTTTAGGGGTGATACAGGCCCTGGTGGTGTAGTGGTTAAATATTTGCGTTTTACTTCTGTGACAGGTTTCTATCTTACACAGGTTCTGGCTTTTGCAGGTTTTAAACTGTATGTATGTTATAAAGATATAATACTAAATGTATATATGAAGTTAACAGCCATAGGTATCGCAGCCAATTGCGGTCGAGTAGATTTCAACTCATAGCAACCCTATAGTGCAGAGCAGAACTGCCCTATAGGGTTTCCAAAGCTGTAATCCTTACGGAAGCCGACTGCCACATCTTTCTCCCACGGACCAGCTGGTGGTTTGAAACCACCGACCTTTTGGTTAACAGCCAAGTGCTTAACCACCTCCAGGGCTCCTTCAGCTATAGGTGTAGATACTTGAAGTGATGCAGTGCCTAGGAAGAAAATAGCGTGTTCAGAAAAAGCCAAAGGAGTAGATAGTAGATGTATCTCCAGAATTAGATAGGGATAGAATCTGTCTTAAGGATAGTCTCAAGGATTGAGTGGTCAGCAGTTCTAAATGCAGCAAGGAGCTCCAGTGAGATTCCTGAAAAGTATATTTTTCACTTTAGCAAAATGGGGTTTATTATAGAGATTTAGAATAAAGGCTTCAAGTAAGTTGATTGAGTGAATGGAAAGTGTGGAAATGGAGGTAACAAGAAGACATGAGCTAATAGCAAACTGAATTTGGTCAAGAGAAAGTTTTACAGAATGGGAGAGGTTTGACCTTGTAGGTTAGCTGAAATAACAGGTAAAAGGGGTCAAGTTGAAGATAGACACAAGACTGTACCTAGTATATGGAACCAGATCCTGGATCAGTCATTTTTAAAAATCTGTTCATTTGCACAAGATATTTTTATTATTATTTCTATTTTAGTGCTGTGGCATAACTGTCATGCTTACTGACCTATTTACATAGTCTCTTCATCATGATTTTTCCCTCATAGGCAAAAATTAGACTCTCAAGCTCATAGGACATTTCAGCTTGTAACCCAAGTAAAATGGATGTTTAAAGGAGACATGGTTGGCAACTTCTGTATGCTAAATATTTATCCTGGAAAAGGCACCCTTCACAGTGTTTTCCACACATATGAGGAGACTGAAGCAACTAGTAAGTGGCAGAGCTAAGATCTGAACCAGGTCAAACCCAATGTTAAAGTCTCTTGGCCAGTACCCAGTATTATGCTGTAGCTGCTTACACATAAGATATTACTTTGATATTACAGAACTTGTAAACCTGATAAAGAAAGGCTACAAAAGAAAATATTCATCTGCTTTACTTTTTTTTTTTGAAAGCAGTAATTTTCAAGTTTTGTTCGTAACGAGTTATATGGTTAAGACCTGACTCCCTCCGGGTGTGATTTTGGCAAAACTGACTATTACCATGATTCTTTCGCCTCTAATTGAAGCCCTGGTGGCACAGTGGTTAAGAGTTCAGCTGCTAACCAAAAGGTTGGCAGTTCAAATCCACCAACTACTCCTTGGAAACCCTATGAGGCTGTCCTGTCCGGTCGCTATGAGTCGGAATTGACTCAACGACAGCAGTTTTGGTTTGACTTTATGCCTCTAACTGTACTAACTACAAATATACATTAAATTTGGTATTCAAAATTTCTAGTATCGAATAGTAGTATTCTTTATTCCATTCCCCTTCTCAACTTCATGCCCATTTCTGCTTCCAGCCTCCTTTTCTAGTCTTTTATTCTCTTCCTCATCCTAATCTGTGGATTTATTTACCTGTCACTTTCCCTTTTACTTACCTGACACTTTCTTGCTCCATTAACTATCGTAGTATCTTTGTAGCCTGTGGTTGGTAACTATAAAGCAAGTCATACTGGCTATTAATAAAGGCCTAGGGAGATTTCTCTGAGTACAGGGAATTAATCATTTTAAGGCAACGCCAGGAGTCAGAGGTTGTAGAGAATTGGAAAACTAAGTAGACATTTAGGTTGAGTAACGTAACCTTAAGAGATAATTGCCAAAGGGTAGAGCTGACCTATTTTCTCCAAGCTCACGATACTATCTAGTTAAGGAATAAGTGTGTCTATCTTTTATCTGATTTTTTTAAATTATATTATTTCATATTACAAATGATAAACCATTTCCATAAGAGAGTTTTAGGTAAGTAAGTGATAGTGTAATGGGGAGAAGGGAGGAAGTGCAGAATGACAGTTAATGACAACCCTAGAAATAGGCTATAAACCCATTGCCTTCGAGTTGATTCAGACTCATAGCAACCCTACAGAACAGAGTAGAAATGCCCCATAGTGTGTCCAAGGAGCAGGTGGATTTGAACTGCTGACCTTTTGGTTAGCAGCCGAGCTCTTAACCACTGTGCCACCAGGGCTACAGAAACAGGCTGTAGAACTTAAATTTTGTGATAAGGCTTGTACCTAGAAATTGACACCTCTCTGGGAAAGTTAAATTAGCAATTAGATGCTACATTTTTAGCAGTTTTAAAATTGTTTTTTAAAAATTTTAGAGCCTATTCTTCCAAAGTATCATTTTAGGTATTGTTTTGGAGGCAGTCTTTATGCATCAGTGCACGTAAGAACACTTAACTTTGATAGTATTTTTGTGAAAGTAGAATCGAAAGATAAAGGTCACAATCTTGGGGCTTGAAGTTTGATGCTTAACAGAATTTACTACCAAGATGAGAGAACTGTGGATTATAATTTGTTATGCTTGAGTTATTCTGTATTTTTATCATAGTCTTCATACTCTTAAATTAGAATTGTAAGTATTACTATTTTAACAAGAAGGATCCCTGGTGGTGCAGTGGTTAAGCGCTCAGCTACTAACTGCAAGGTTGGCGTTTTGAACCCTCCAGCAGCTCCGTGGGAGAAAGATGTGGTGGTCTGCTTCTGTAAAGATTACAGCCTTGGAAACCGTACGGGGCAGTTCTACTCTGTCCTGTAGTGTCACTGTGAGCCGTAATCGACTTGATGGCAACGAGTTTTGGTTTTATTTTAACAAAATACTATGTTAAGCACTGCGTGACGTGTATCAAACATAAGCATTACTGAATTTTTAAAGAAAAAATACATTAACCTGCATTTGGAAAAAAGGAGTAAAGTGTTAGCACCTGAAGGAAGTAACAATGTGCACATTTTTCTTCATTATAAAAAGTGGTATTTATTTTTTCCTTTCTTCTGTTTTTGACCAGGTGCTTGCACATACCACCCAGGCGTTCCAGTCTTCCATGATGCATTAAAGGTAGGACCTTAGTATATATTTAAAATCTCTTCCTGTCTGTGTAGTACATTTAAGGAGTATAATACTAAATCTTTATTTTCTTGTCTATTTTTCTCAGCTTGGGACTTTCTGCTTTTTTAATGATCAGTATGGGGTGCTTTAAGCATGTCCTTCATTAAAAGCAAAGAAGACAGTAGATGGTCATCTTAAGATTTTTTCAAGTTATAAAATATTATTTTTATCCCAGTTCTCATTTTCTACACCTCTTTCTTCACTTTCCTAATCTTAAAGGTGAAATAGAAGGGACTATATTCAATCTTTATATAAAGTTGTCAATCTATCAGGCAGCTGCTTACTAATAAGAGTAGCTCTGAATTAGGAAGAATAGTTATAAACACTTAACAGTACCAGTCTCAGGGCAGACATGTAAGTTGAGAGTATCTTTACAAAAAAGAGATGCTGCCAGGTTTCCACCTGTACTTTCCTTGATGTTCTGGAGAACTAGAGAAATAGTGAGATGTTATTTGACCAGATTTTTATGGTAGGTTACCTGGCTTTATTGATATTTTTAAATTTATGATATGTTACATCTTAAAGAGTTTCCTTTGTATATCTAAGAGACTGTTGTGGGGCTGACATGGCTTTAGATGCTCCCACTTTTGTGCTCAGGAACACAAACAATCTTACCTGTTTAAATATTGTTCGTGCCCTTTGAATTTCTAATACATCTTCCAGAGAGTAGTTGGACCCTTATGGCATTTAACTGTTGGATGTCTAAAAAAGATAAACAGGCAGATACGAAGTTTATGTTAGTTGGTTAGTTCTGAGTGAGAAAGTAGAAGAAACATTTAATAGGGCAAGGTGAAGTTTGACTCCTCTTGTGTGCCATCAGATTTACTCTGATAGCAACCCTGTAGGATGGAGTAGAAGTGCCCCCATAGGGTTTCCTAGGCTTAGTGTTTCAGGATTGGAAGAGATCCTTATTCATGCCCATTCCAAAGAAAGGTGATCTAGCAGAATGCAGAAATTATCAAACAGTATCATTAATACCACATGCAAACAAAATTGTGCTGAAGATAATTGAAAAATTGCTACAGCCGTACATTGACAAGGAACTGCCAAAAATACAAGCCAGATTCAGAAGAGGACGTAGACTGAGGAATATCATTGCTGATGTCCGATGGATCTTGGCTGAAAACATAGAATACCAGAAAGATGTTTACCTGTGTTTTATTGACCACACAAAGGCATTTGACTGTGTGGATCATAACAAATTATGGATAACATTGAAAAGAATGGAAATTCCAGAACACTTAATTGTGCTAATGCAGAACCTGTACATAAACCAAGAGGCAGTTGTTCAAACAGAACAAGGGGATCCTGCATGATTTAAAATCAGGAAAGGTCTGCATCAGTGTTACATCCTTCCACCATTCTTATTCAGTCTGTATGCTGACCAAATAATCCAAGAAACTGGACTATATGAAAAAGGAACGAGCCATAAGGATTGGAGGAAGACTAACAGTCTGTGTTATGCAGATGACACAACCTTACTTGCTGAAAGTGAAGAGGACTTGAAGCACTTACTGATGAAGATCAAAGACTATAGACTTCAGACCTCAACATGAAACAAAAATCCTCACAACTAGACCAATAAGCAACATCCTAATAAATGGAGAAAATATTGACGTTATCATGGAAATCATTTTGTTTGGATCCACAGTCAATGCCCATGGAAGCAGCAGTCAAGAAATCAAATGACATACTGCACTGGGCAAGTCTGCTGCAAAAGACTTAAAGTGTTGCAAAGCAAAGATGTCACTTTGAAGACTAAGATACACCTCATGCAAGCCATGCTATTTTCAGTTGCCTCATATGCACACAAAAGCTGGTAATGAAAAAGGAAGACCAAAGAAGAATTGACAGATTTGAATTACGGTGTTGGTGAAGAATATTAACTATACCATGGACTGCCAGAATGAACAGATTTGTCTTGGAAGAAGTACAGCCAGAATGCTCCTTAGAAGTGAAGGTAACATACATTATCAGGAGCGACCAATTCCTAGAGAAGGGCATCATGCTTGGTAAAGTAGTGGGTGAACAAAACAGGAAGACCCTCAACAAGATAGAGTGACACAGTGGCTGCGACAGTGGGCTCAAACAAAGCTACTGTTACGAGGATGACACAGGACTGGGCACTGTTTCATTCTGTTGTACATAGGGTCCCTATGAGTTGGAATCGACTCAATGGCACCTAACCACAACAGTCTTTACAAGAAGCAGATCACCATGTCTTTTCTCCTGCGGAGCCTCTGATGGATTGGACCACTGACATTTTGGTTAGCAGCCAAGGGCTTACCATGGTGCCATTGGGCTGCTTGACGACTCCTTACAAACTTTTATGTGAGTGGAAACTAGTTCTTTGGGAATATTTGTTTGTCTATTTGGGGATTTTATCTATTCTAGACTGCCAACGATTCTGTAGGCGTTTTTTTGTTTTGTTTTGTTTTTTTAATGGTACCTTTTTGTTTTCTTTTTCTATGGTGTTTTCCTCTTATTTCCTCACCATTGGCATTCTTCGCATCTCCGTATTTGGCTTCCGGTTTTCTCTCAGTTCATTTTTTTGTGTCCTTAAATGTCACCTTTATGCCAGTGGCTCCTGTGACATATTGCCACTAATGTGTCTCGTTGTCAACCTCAAACCAATTTCTAAGGTGAACTCTTGTTCCAAAAATAGTTCTGTCTCACATCCTTGCTATTTTTAGTAATGATACCACTAATTTTCTGTTGTCATTCATCCCTTTGCTCTGTTTTTACTACCTCACCATTAATCACACCAAATCTTAATGATTTCAGTTTGAAATTCTTTTTCTCTCTTCTCCAGTCCTACTGTTTACTGTTAGAGTCTATAAACATTTCTTGAAGACCTAGACTTCTAAGTCTATTGGATTTCACAGCCTAGTAGATTTCAGAAAAGTTGCCAGTTGTCTATTTGACTTAGAAGCTAAGCATTTCATTAACAAAAGGACATTTTAACAAATGGTGCTGGCAAAACTGGATATCTATCTGCAAAAAAATGAAGCAGGACCCATACCTCATGCCATCTACAAAAACTACTTCAAAATGGATCAAAGACCTGAATATAAAGCCTAAAACTATAAAGTTCATAGAAGAAAAAATAGGACCAACACTACAGGCTTTAATACACGGCATTAACAGGATACCAGCCATAACCATCAATACACCAATCCCAATAGATAAGCTAGATAACTGGGATCTTCTAAAATGAAACACCTGTGCTCTTCAAAAGACTTCACCAAAAGAGTAAAAAGAGAAGCTACAGACTGGGAAAAAAATTTTTGGACAGTACAAGTCAGACAAAGGTTTAATCTCCATAATCTACAAGAAAATCCAACACCTCTACAACAAAAAGACAAATAATCCTATTAAAAAATGGGCAAAGGAAATGAACAGACACTTCACCAAAGAAGACATTCAAATGGCCAACAGACACATGAGGAAATGCTCATGATCACTAGCCATTAGAGAAATGCAAATTCAAACCACAATGAGATACCATCTCACCCCAGCATTCCTGGCACGAATCAAAAATACTGGAAATAACAAATGTTGGAGGGGCTGCGGGGAGATCGGAACTCTTACGTACCGCTGGTGGGAATGCAAAATGGTACAACCATTTTGGAAAATGATATGGTGCTTCCTCAGAAAGCTAGAAATAGACATGCCATTCGATCCAGCAATCCCACTCCTAGGAATATATCCTAGAGAAATAAGAGTTGTCACTCGAATAGACATATGCATACCTATGTTCATGGCAGCATTGTTCACAATAGCAAAATGATGGAAACAACCTAGATGCCTATCAACAGATGAATGGATAAACAGACTATGGTACATACACACAGTGGAGTACTATGCAATGAGAAAGAAGAACAATGAATCTGTGAAGCATCTCATAATATGGATGAAACTGGAGGACATTATGCTGAGTGAAATAAGTCAATCACAAAATGACAAATATTGTATGAGACCCTTATTGTAAAAACCCATGAAAAAGTTCACACACAAACTGTAACAATCTTGGTTGGTTACCAGGGATGGGAGGGGTTGGGGGGGAGATACTAAATAGGCAATAGATAAGTGGTATCTTGGGTGAAGGGTGAGACAGTACACAATACAGGGGAAACTAGCACAACCTGTACAAGGAAAGGTTATGGAAGCCCCATAGACACATCCAGACTCCCTGAGGGACTGAATTGCTGGGCAGAGGGCTGTGGGGACCATGGTCTCGGGGAACATCTAGCTCAATTGGCATGACACAGCCTATAAAGACAATGTTCTACATTCTACCTTGATGAGTAGCGTCTGGGGTCTTAAAAGCCTGTGAGTGGCCATCTAAGATACTCCACTGGTCTCATCCCTTCGGGAGCAAGGGAGAATGAAGAGAACAGGATACAAGGAAACGGTTAGTCCAAAGGACTAATGGTCCACAGCTACCAAGGCCTCCACCGGACTGAGTCCAGTACAGCTAGATGGTGCCTGGCTACCACCACTGACTGCTCTGACCAGGATCACAACAGAGGGTTCTGGACAGAGCTGGAGAAGGATGTAGAACATAATTCTAACTCACAAAAAAAAAGACAGATTTACTGGCCTAAAGGAGTCTGGAGAAACCCCAAGAGTATGGCCCCCAGACACCCTTTCAGCTCAGTGGTGAAGTTATCTCCGAGGTTCACCGTTCAGCCTGGAAGTGTACAGCCCCGTAAAACCAAATGGGACCAATGAGGTATAGTAGTCCAGTGACAAGGGCCAGAAGGCAGAAGGGGACAAGGAAGCTGGTGATAGGGAACCCAAGGTTGAGTAAGGATATTGTTGATGTGTTGTGAGATTGTTAACCATTGTCATAGGGCAACATTTGTAGTAACTGTTCTGTAAGCCTTCACCTGAGGTACAATTAAAAAAAAAAAGAAAAGGACAGTTCTTTTCAAGAAAACACAGCAACCTTATACCCACATACTTAAAGTTATCCTTCCTTTTCTCATTTTATTTAGCCCTGGTGGCACAATGGTTAAGTGCTCACTGCTAACCAAAAGGTTGGCAGTTCAAACTCACCCAGTCAGTGGCTATGCGGGAGAAAAGACCTGGCAATCTAGTCCTATAAGGATTATAGCCAAGAAAACCTTACAGGGCAGTTCTCCTGTGTCACATTGAGTTGCTGTCCGTTGAAAATCAACTCCATGGCACCTAACAACAAAATAGAACCCAGATTAACATTTGGGAACAACAGGCCTATCATTTCTTACATGTATGAATCTCAGTATTCTCCAGAGTGTCTGACATAATTCTGTATATGATTAAGATGATAAAATTTTTTCTCTTGTAGGACGACTTTCCTGATAACTATATTTTCACTGCTACTTAAACCTTAGATTTAAAGTTGTGCTAATTATTTATCTGTGCGTGAGTTTAAAGTAAAAAAGAGAAATTCAAAATATAGGAAAGTTTGAATTGTAGGTTTTTTTTTTTTTTTTTTTGAATGTAGTTTTAAAAAATAAAACCTGGAAGTGCATATTGTTAAAAAGAAAAAAAGAAAAAATTCTTCATGCAGTATATTGAGACAGTGAGGTCTAGGTGAAGATGTGCAAAGTTGTCTCTTATTCTTAGTTTGTAATATCCTAACTCTTAAGACTGCCACATTTTTGTTTCCTTTTCCCCCATAATACATTGGAATTATAGTGTTTTAAGTCACTTTTTTAAACAACTTGGTATTTTGTTCAGAAATCACATACTCTTAGAATTTCTGTACTTTTCACTGAAAAGATCATCTAACTTTCAGTAGTAGGCTGATACTTTAATCTGTGCTCTGAAAATAAGTAAAATGCTTATTGTTGAGGGACAACTATAGTGGGTTTTGTTAAGAGACTGTATTATAATTATCATCCCTGAGTTACAAGATTTTTAAAATAAAACACCTTCAGTTGCTTCTCAGATCCTTTAAAATATGTGCTGTTCTTAGGAATTATAAAATATTTTTCTTCTAAAAATCTGGTCCTGTTCTTGAAAAGAGAAGCAGATTCTGTTTCCCTATTTTAAGGTTCATCCTTTCATGACAGGTCACAGCACAGTTTTTAATTATTTTTTTAAAAACAAAGACTAAATATTTTACTTGAGTTAAGTGAACAATTTACAGCACTTTAAAACTGATATATATGTATATGTACAAATCACTTTGGGATTCAATGATGTAAGTAAAAATATTTATTAGTGGGTTGTGGTTCCCACACAAATATGGTTTTCTTTTTTTTTCCTTATATTTCATAGGGGTGGTCTTGCTGTAAGAGAAGAACAACTGACTTTTCTGATTTCTTAAGCATTGTAGTAAGTATTACTTTTTCCTTTTTTAGCCTAAATTATATCCCCAAAAGTATACATTTTAGGAAGCTCCATATTTCAGGCATCTGATTTCTGATATCTATTGCCTAGTCCTATTAACTTGCAAATAACACCTTTCTTTTAAAATGGAGTACAAGTCTCCCTCCATATCCTCTAAAATAAGGATTTTATCTGGCTGTTTTAGAGATTAAAGTTTGAAGGTATTAATTATCCAATTTGTCAATTTAGGTTTGTTCTTGATGTTAGTAGTCTTGAAAGAACATCAAAAAGAAATGATAGACAGCAGTTTAAAATGTTTTAGGTTACAAACAGTAAATTTTGCATCAAACCTGATACATCATTACGGTGTACCATTATTTTATATACTACTAAGAAAGAAAAGTAAAATTGTTAATAAACTAATAGGCCATTGATAGTATGATTTCAGAGATGTTAAAATGTACTTATGACTCAATGGAATGGGAATAAGAGTAGCTAGCATTTGTTGAATATTTACTACCTACCAGATGTACTGGGTACTCTACATGTATTATTTGATTTAATCCTCTCCAAAAATAAAAAAGACTAAGGTGCTGTTATTACCATTTTACAGTTTAGGAAGCTGAGGTTTAAAAAGATTAATTAAGTTGCTCAAGGTCATATAGCTAGTTAGTAGGAGAACTGGGAGTCTTTCGAGTAAAAGACTTTTTGTTTATAAATAATTTGTAGAATTCTGTTTATAAGGTTCTCCAGAATTTGTCACCTGCTTTCTGTATGGGAGACCTGTTTTCAGTTGCCAGCCAATGCAGCTCATGCACAGCCACCACCCTACTCTCAGTGAAGGTTTGCGTGTTGCTATGATGCTGAATAGGTTTCAGTGGAGCTTCCAGATTAAGATGGACTAGGAAGAAAGACCTGGCAATTTACTTGAGAAAATCAGCCAATGAAAACCCTGTGAATCACAACAGTTTGATCCACAAGGGTCGCCATGAGTCAGGCGCCAACTCTATAGCAACTAACAACAACAATAACAAATCAAGAAGCTTATGCTGTATATATAATGGAATAAGTTAAGTGGTTATTTATGAAGTATAATTAAAAGCTTAAAGTGCTTTATTCAAAATGAGAACTAATTTACAAATATAGCAAATTTGGAGTCATATTTTTAGTTTGTAAAACAAGTTAATGTGATAAAAGTAAGAAAAAACAATAGAATTTATCAGTAAAGATTTTGAAAAATTTGTATTTCTATAATGGCATATAAAATACGTGATAGAATAACTCTTAATGAATACTTTTCACTAACAGGGCTGTACAAAGGGTAGGCATAATAGTGAAAAGCCACCTGAGCCCGTCAAACCTGAAGTCAAGACTACTGAGAAGAAAGAACTGTCTGAATTGAAACCCAGATTTCAGGAGCACATCATTCAAGCCCCTAAACCAATAGAAGCAATAAAAAGGCCAAGGTATAAAATAGAGTTGTTTATTTGTGTCAGACTTGAGTAACAGCATTTGTTCATTACGATTTTGCATAATATCATTTGTACCTATTGTATAGGCCACTAAGTTTTGAACCATCTTATTTTCTTTTAGATGTGTCTTTAATTTTTATTTCTCCTTAACTTAAGGTCATGTACATAGTTAAACTTGATTACAGAATTGCTTATTGTACCATCATAATTATACTTAGAGTAGGGGAGTCACACATCTTGTGCTTTGAAGTATTTTTTTTCTCCGTTGCTTAGTGAAATTCTGTAAAGGAATTGTCCTAGTCAGGGAATCAGTTTGAGTTGAAAAAGAACTCAGAGACCTTTATTTCAGTTCTTCTACTTCTTGCTTGAATGTCTTCTAGGACATTCCTGACAGAAGAATATTTAGTTCACATTCAAATAATTTCAGTGAAGAAGAATTTACCTTTACCTCAAAGCAGTCCATTTTATTGTTACTAGGTCATTGTATAAGCTTCCCTTGTATTGAGCCAAATTCTGTTTTTCAGTTGTGTTTATTTTACCATTTACACAAACCTAATCATTCATCTCTACCTTCAGATGCCTGAAAACTACTGTTAATCTAATTGATATTAGTGAATTTTTATTGCATTTGATTTAGGTGGCGTATCTGTTAGTCTTAAAATGCCATTTGCTCATTTTGCAGTAGAATTACACAGATTTTTCATATTCACTTTCTGATCAACTAGATTAGTCTATTTTACATTCTGATACACGCATATTAGCACTACTGTTAAATGATCTTCTTCATACTGAACTTAAGTACTGAATTATTTTAGAACTGAAATTCCAGTTTAAAAAATGTGATTTGGGCCCCAAATTATACCCTGTTGAAATTTTTATTAATGCTCGGAATTCACTTCTTTCTCTTGATTTTGTTTAAATAAATGTTTAGAATATTGAATAATACATGACCAAGATAATGCTGAGAGGCTTTTTTACAATTATTCGTTCATTAACACTCTGGATACATTGTTAAAGAAACTATCTAGAATGATCTTACTTAGTTAATCTTTTTTTAAGTAATACAGTGGAGTCTCTCAAAATCGACAGTATGAGATGGGCTGCTGATAATTTTACTTAAGAGGAACTGAGAGAAATTAGATTCATCTACTCCTCATTTATCAAATATCTTGTTATCCAACATTTTGCGTTCACAACAATAGTACAAAATCAACTCTCTATTTTGCCCAGTAACGAGGAGCCAAGGTGAGAGGTGGAGGAGGGCTAGGTTGGTGAGAGGGAGTAAGGCCGCCTGGGCCACCAGTGGTTCATATTACCAGGTTCGGTTCATATTACCAGGTTCGGCGGAGGAGCCAGGACAGGCCCTCAGCAAGCACGGAGCAGGTGGGCAGCGAGCGCAGGAGGTGGGGGCAGCCGGGCCACAAGGATGTGGCAGGAACTGGTGCTGCAGGAGTGAAATAAGAATTATGAAATATGTTAGAGGATATTGGTTTTTTTAGCCCTACTGAAATTACCTTGCAATACAGTTGTATCTGAATCATAGCTGCATATATTAGTGTCCACACAAAGTGAATTATGACCACTGGCAGAAGTCAGTATGAATTCCCTTAGTTTATATCTATTGCCTGTTTATTATGTGCTTATTTTGCTTGAGCATAGGATGTACAAGTATGTCATGGTCCCTTTCTTGGGAGATAACTCATCTTGACAAACTTAGATACCTAGTCTTCACTTCTTTTCCATTACCTATACTGATTAATACTTGATTAATACTTGACTGTGCAGGCAGTAGCATTAAAAATCAGAAATATATGCACTGTAAAGGTTATTTGTAAAATACTTTTTAATGGGGAAAACTTAATTCACAAGGCATTTGGCTTTTTGTCATGAAGAGACTTAAGTATATTCATTTTGAGAACAAAGAAGTATTAATGATACATTAATAATATTAATAAAGATATCAAAATTCTCCAGCCCAGATGAGCCGATGACAAATTTGGAATTAAAAATATCTGCCTCCCTCAAACAAGCACTTGATAAACTTAAACTATCATCGGGGAATGAAGAAGATAAGAAGGGTAAGATTCTTTTTTTTTTTGTAATTATTTTCCATACAGTTAATCAGTCATCTAAAAGAGACAGGAGCAGGGTAGTTTTCTGAATGTAAGTATGAAAAATTAGTATACTATAGGGGAAATTTTTCCCCTAAATGCCAGTAATACCCACAGAATGAATACGTGGCTCATTCCATTATATCTTTAATTGTAAATGAGAACCTGTTAAAGTTTTGTTTTTCTTCTGTGAGTCATTATCTTTTCAATACTGAATTAAGTTTTTTTGGTAATTCACTGTGCATAATATAAAATGTTTTCAGTATTCTCTGCTCTATACCCAGCATTATGAAAGAAAACCACCCTTTCATGATTTCTCTCTTACAAGTTTAAGATATTGGATATATCTTTTGCATTACAGAATACATTTGTGGTATATATATATATATATCACCTAATCACAGTAGTTACTTAGGAGCTTTTTAAATATATTAACTGAAAATTCACACCGAAAAATTGATCATGTAAAATTACTTTAAAATATCTATCAAGTATTTCTTGTATAAAGTTAAGATTTTTTTTAAAGACTTGCTTTATGTAAAAGATTACTTTTTAAGAATGGAGCTGCACTAAAGTACTGTATTTTAATATTTCTAATTTGATTATTTTTGTTTGTTTTAGAAGAAGAAAGTGATGAAATTAAGATTGGGACCTCATGTAAAAATGGAGGATGTTCAAAGGTACATATTATAAACTGTGCTGTATCATGTACGTAACCTTTTTATTTTGAAATAAAGTGAGTGTTAGTCACTGACTCAGTTCAACAAGGATTTGGGTGCCTATTATGTTTTGGGCTATTTATGGACTAGAGCTATGAACATGGATAAGAGACACCCTCTGTCTCTGTGGAGTGCCATATCTTACAGAAAAGTCTGTTGTGGAAATAAACAGTTATAATTTATTTAACATTTATCGAGCACTTACTGTGTGCCACTTGTTTTAAGGGGCTCTGGATCTAGTATCAAATAAAGCAAAATTCCCTGTTCTTATGAAGCTGTTATTCTAGTATGGGGGGCAGGATAAAATATAAGTAAGTAAATATTATAAATTCAGGTAGATAAGAAAATAAAGCAGGCTAAGGTAATAGAGTGGTTGAAATATGAAAACTATTTAAATAAGGTCAGAGAAGTCCTTTTTGAGGTGACAATCATAAATTGGAATAATGTAGCAGATGAGTTATGTAAATGCTCATCTGGGAAGAGTACTGTAGATGGAGCAGCACCTCCATGTGTAGAGGCTTTGGAGCTTGTGTATTCAAGGAATAGCAAGATCAGTGGGGCTTGGTCATTGGTGAGGAAGGTAGGGATAACACAAAGAGGCAAATGCCAGAAGGCAAATGTGGAGTCCTTTATACTCCACATTTGATGATGAGGAGTTTGGGCTTTCTAAATATGATGGGAAGCCATTAACTCATTCTAAGTAGGGGTTTTAAAATGATTTATTTGGCTAGTGAGCAACAAATATATTGTAATGCAGCAGGAGTATAATTAGGAGGAGGGAAATCAGCATGCTGTTGTGGAATGCCAGGTAGTGGGATTGGAGTGTAGAAGTAAAATTGTTGAGAGTTGAAACAAGGCAGAGTATCCCCTTGACCTCAACTGGGAATGTGGGCATCAGGCGAATCAAATTTTCCCACACACTGCATGGATTAGAATGGTCACGAAAGTGCCGTGAGTATTGGTTTTGGGTTTACAGATAAATTTTAGTGAATGGGTAAATTCACAAATACATAGTCTGCAAATAATGAGGATCGACTGTATGTTCACGTATAGATAAGATAGAAATAGTACATAGAAGGGAATGATGAATTCTTAGCATAGGGAAGGCAGTTAAGTGGTAGAGTAATGAAGGAAGGTCAAGGAAAAAGTATCCCAGATTAGTTTGGAAAAATGAATCAGTTCTGTAAATGGAGAAAAAGGGAAAAGGTATTTCAAGCTGAGATAATAGTAGTGTAAAGAAAGCAATAAGTAGTTAATAACACTGGTATACAGTTTGTTGGAGGAGTTGAAATTCAAAGAGATTAAGTAGATGCCAGATCCTGAAAGGCTTTTCTGGTGCTGAGAAGTTAAATCTTTCTTTAGGTTATGGAAGCCATTAAAGGAATTTTTCATCTTTTTTGTTAAAGTAGAGCGTTAAAAAGTATACACATACAAGTTTACAGCTCATTGGATTTTCAGAAAGTAAACACATCAGCATTGCAGAACCCTTCCTTATGTCACCTCTCATTCATTATTCCTTCCCCTGAAGTAACCACATTTTCCTAGCAATATAAATTAGTTTTGCCTATTTTTGAGCTTTATATAAATGCAGTCATAGAACATGTATTCTTGTGGTGGCTTCTTTTGTTTAATGTTACTGTTTTAGTTTTATCCTTATGGCATGTAGCCATAATTTGTTCAGTTTTATTGCTTTATTACATGTCATTATTTGAATGTAACACAGCTTACCTTTTCTACTGCCTTCCTTTTTTAAAAAAAAAAAAATACTATTACAAATAATGCTATGAACATTCTTATGTGTGACTTTTTGGGACACATACACATTTCCATTGGGCGTATTATTGGAATTTCTTGATCATAGAGTACGTATATATTCAGCTTTAACATATGCTTTCGTATAGTTTTCCAAAATCCGTTAAACCAAACCCATTGCCATTGGGTTGATTACGAATCATAGCAACCCTATAGGACAGAGTAGAACAGCCTCATCTGGTTTCCAAGGAGGATCTGGTGGGTTCAAACTGCTGGCCATTTGATTAGTAGCTGAGTTCTTAACCACTGCACCACCAGGGCTCCAGTTTTCCAGAGTATTTATATTAATTTATAATTCTACAAGTAGTATTTGAGGGTTCCATTTGTTGCACACCTTGGTAATACTATAATACCAGTCTTTCAAATTTTAGCCCTTGTCTTAGTCATCTAGCGCTGCTGTAACAAATACCGCAAGTGGGTGGCTTTAAAAAAAAAGTAGTTTATTTTCTCACAGTAAAGTAGGCTAAAATTCCAAATTCAGGGCGTCAGCTCCAGGGGAAGGCTTTTTCTCTCTGTCGGCCTTCTCATGAATCTTCCCCCACCTAGGAGCTTCTCCGAGCGGGGACCACAGGTCCAAAGGATGCTCTCTGTTCCTGGCACTGCTTTCTTGTGAGGTCCCCCGTCTCTCTGCTGGCTTGTCTCTTTTATAACGCAAAAGAGATTGCCTCAAGACACAATCCAGTCTTGTAGATAGACTCCTGCCTCACTAACACAACTGCCACCCATCCTCCCTCATTAACATCATAGAGGCAGGATTTACAACATATAGGAAAATCACACAATACCAGGAATCATGACCCAGCCAAATTGATACACACATTTATGGGGGGACATAATTCAGTCCATGACGGCCGTGTTTATTTGGTCATTTGGATAGCCTCTTCTGTGAAATGTCCAAAATCTTTTTCCTTTTTTTCTATTAAATCATTCTTTTTCTTACTGATTTGTAAGAAGTCTTTATATAAGACATTATGCCTTTTCACTGTCTTAATGCTGACTTGGTAAATAGAGACTCTTAATTTTAATGAAATCTAATTTGTTTATCTTTTTATCAATGACTAGTTCTTTTTGTGTCCTATTTAAGAAATGTTTTGTTTCCTTCATGGCTATGAGTATTTTCTTCTATATTACGTTCTAGAGGCACATTTAGAGGCAGCCCATCTGTAACAGATTATTGTATAAGATGTGAGGTACACATAATTAAAGGACTTTAGACAAGAGAGTGATTACTTGTTTTTTTTTTAGATAGTAGGAACAGAAGTTGAAGGCAGAGAAATTAATCAAGAACCCATTAGTATAGTGTGCCTAAAATCTGCCTGTAATTATGAGGAATGTTAACAAATTTAACTGACAGACATTTCCAAGTCAAATTGACGGGTTGACAGGATTTCATAGTAGACTACATGTGGGTGGGAGGAGAGGAGAAACTGAAGAGGACTTAACGGGATTTTGTTTTGGGAGACTGAGTGGATTTTGGTGTCATATAAGGGTATGAGGTTAGAGGAGCAGTAGTAATGAGTTCAGAATCTAACATACCGAGTTTTATGTGCTTGTGGAATATCTTTAGGAGATAAGACTTTTGTTGTTGGTTGCTGTTGAGTTGATTACCACTCATGCAACCCTGTGTCTTACAGAGTGAAACTGCTTCATAGGGTTATTTTAGCTGTGATCTTAATGGGATCAGATGGCCAGTCCTTTTCTTAGTACCGTTTGGTGGGTTCAAACCACCAACCTTTAGGTTAGCAGTCGAGTGCAAGTTCTACCTACGGACTTACACACATCTAGTACTTTGGATTTATAAAAAGTAAACATACAGAATTTTATTTTCTGTATTTGTACATAGTTGCTGTAAATAACCAATATAGCATATATACTACTGGCTGCATCCATGTATTTTTAACATTCCTTTTTGTGAATTCATTTGTAGAGCCTTCACCTACAAGCAGCAGTGCAACATGAGTCTTCCAGACAGACCTTTTTTGTACATACAGGTCTGCAAATTATTTTACCCTTTGTTAGGGATGAGCACTCATCATCACTCTGTAACTTCTAGAATTTTTTACTAGATTTTGCATATTAATTTATAGTGCCCACGCAGAGTATGCTGTACATGTAAACCATGCTGTAATTATATTTCCATCAAGGGTAATAATCTCTTGTTTTCAGTGTTGTTCTATAAACTTAAGCACCTAAATATGCTTGGATGGGACCTCATACCCAAAAGGTTGAAAGCATCTTAATACATGTTATTGTCTACTTCTCTAGTTACCTTTCACAGAGAGTTGAAATTGAATGATGTTCGAAAGGGAATCACTGTTCAATAGGTTGAAGGATGGCCTGGCGTAGATTTTTGAGCATTTTAAGTAATTGTTCTTTCTTGAGCATCCTACATAGTTTATAGAAATCACCAGTACTACAAATATGTATAAGGTGTAACTTTGAGGTATGTGGCTAAGTTTTTTCCTCTCCTTTTTGTTTTTTAGACCTATCAGGGTCTACAGAGTCTAGAAGAAATCTGTATATATCATTCTGGAGTACCTATTTTCCACGAAGGGTAAGCATGACTGATTAAAACACCTTATGGTAGAGTTTAGAAAAGCTAATATTCCTTCAAGCATTATTTATTATGTACTGTTATTAAGCATTTTACTTATTACATTGTCATTTAATCTTTACAATAACATAGAAATCTGGATTTTGTCTTTTTAACACATGAGAAAATTGAAACAAGGTTACAGCTATGAAGTGACCATTGTGGCTTAAACCCTGTGTTTTCCCTTTAATACCCATATATTTCAATGTGATGCTCTTTGTATTTGTGCTGAATTCCTTTTTGGTTTTTGTTTGTTTGTTTTCATTGTGCTTCAGGTGAAAGTTTACAGCTGAAGTTAGTTTCTCATACAGAAATTTCTACACACATTGTTACGTGACCCTAGTTGCTCTCCCTGTAATGTGACAGCACACTCTTCTTTCCACCTCAGATTTCCCATGTCCATTCAGCCAGCTCCTATCCCTTTCTGCCTTCTCATCTTGCCTCCAGACAGGAAGTGGTCCTTTAGTCTCATGTATCTACTTGAACTAGAAGCACACTCTTCACGAGTATCATTTTATGTCCCATAGTCCAGTCTAATCTTTGTCTGAAGAGTTGGCTTTGGGAATGGTTTTAGTTCTGGGTTAACAGAGAGTCCGGGGGTGATGTCTTCTGGGGTTCCTCCAGTCTCAGTGTTTGTTTTTTAAAGACTGTCCTGCACATTGCTGGAAATTCTAGTGATTTTTTGACTGGAGCCCTAAGACCCCCAACATTGTGAAATTCAAGAAGACCCATACTTTTCCAGAGCCTTCAGTTGAGAAGCACTCTTCTGTATTATCTTGTACTTTATAGAAACATGACACTGCATTAAAATCTTCCATTCTCCCTCTGTATTCCTCAGGATCCAAACCTTAAGTTTTGCCATAATTTTTGTTTTATTCTGTTGGATTTTTCTCAAGTAATAATGGATTTCACCTACTTTGACTAGCCATCAAAATTTGTGTAAACATTAGTTTTTAATTTGTTTGCATGTTTTCAGTTCACCTGAGTTACTCAAATGTGAGGATTTTAAATCTTGGTCATACTACCATTTCGTAGCTTCATGACAAAACTAGGGTGTGAGTTATTACTAAAGCCAATTTAGAATTCTGTGATGGTTTTAAGTGTCTTTACTTAGGAGCTCCAGAATTGTTATAAAAAACAGCATTCTGGTCTTAAAAAGAAATTAGTATTCTCTGAAATATATCCAGTTTTAACTGTGTAGTAGCTTAGACAGTAATAGAATACTAGCACTCTTTTTTTTTTTTTTTTTTTTTTAAATCACACTTGCCACTGTAATACTCCTGGACTTTACTTGGTTGTGAGATTTGATTTCTGAAATATTTTTCTATTATTATAATTTAAAGGATGAAATACTGGAGCTGTTGTAGAAGAAAAACTTCCGATTTTAATACATTTTTAGCCCAAGAGGGCTGCACAACAGGGAAACATATGTGGACTAAAAAGGACGCCGTAAGTAGCCTTTTCAAAATAACATACCTGATTATACTCATCTGAGTCATTTTTAAAACATTTGAGATGATTCTCTTTAAATTAAAAAAAAAAAAAATTCTTCCCTCTCTCAAATAGTAAAGTTTTGATGTGCCTAAAACCTAAAATTAATCCTAGTCAGAGCATTGTCCTTTGAGCAAAGTAGCTAGTGTGTGTGTGTGTGTGTGTGTGTGTGTGTGTGTGTGTGTGTGTGTGTTGATGTAGGTATGTAGATTTTTGTGAAATGATAAAGCCTGCCAAAATTGAAGCATCTTTGTCCGTTTTATTAATAAAATTCACTCCATAGACTGTTCCCATTTTTCTTTTTTTTTAATCACTTTGGTATTCATTAGATGTTACTTAACTTTTAGACATCTGATTCTTTTTTGGCCACTTATTCATTCAACCATTTACAGATGCACAAACACTCCATCTAGTGGTCAAAGAGGAGGATTGCAGACTTGTTTCGTTGGAATTCTTTTAAGAGTGCCTCTGCTTGCTACAGGGAAATTTATCAAGAGAAAAAAGAAAGCATCAGTTCGTACTCCCTGGACAGCTTTTTAAAAAGACTTGGGGCTATGCAAATAATTCCCCAAAAGCCCATTAAATTGTAAGAAGGCAAGGAATTTTATTGCTAAATAAATGTTTGTGTGTTAGATATTGTTAATGTATTTTATAATATATTAAATTAGCCTTTTGTGCCATATTTGCACTAATAGCCTCAATATAATGGACCTGTTCAGTATATAAGTATAGATAACCAATTTTTTTTTACTTATAAAAAAATTGTAGATTTCGAAATCAGTTTTTAACATTAAATTATTCTGTAATTGTTGCTTTTTAATAACGCGTGGTTGGATAGGTGTTTTCTTTTTTTTTTTTTTCTTTTTTTTTAGGTTGAATATTAGAAATATACCCCCAGTTGTAATAATTACCTACCACAAAATTTTCAGGAATGTCATATAGCAAAAAAAGAGGTCTGCCTGTATATTTTCTCCAAGGTCCAAAAGTAGTACTAATATGAAAAAAGAAAATGTTACTCTTACTATGTACAAAAGTTTTCAGAGTATGACCCTTGATGAAATTTTTTTGTTGAAATTTTTTTATTTTCATTTATGCATGCAGTTATCAAGTATTAAGTGTCTAAACCACTAGCTAAGAGTAAAAATGTGAGTGATAAATGTAATTTAAATTCAATTAGTATAATTTTACCAAAATGTTAATTACTGCTTTTTTTTAACAGCAGTGTCTCATAGTTTCTTCAATTACGTGCCTGAATTAACTCCATTTTAGAAAGAAATCACCGTTTGTCTCTTTTGAAAAATATACCAGTGGTACAAAATAATTTCATAATAGTAATCAAAAGATTACATCTTCAAATTTCCACCTTTTTTCTGCACACTAATATGAGAGGAAAATAAGTATTCCATAACAACAGCATATAGTTATAAGTGGTAAATTATTTTTTTCCCAAATTCTGATTTTTAGAAAATAAGTGGGAAGCCTGTGCATGAGATTAAGATGTTTTATTTATCCAGCTAAGCAAATCTCTTTCTTGTTTCAGTCTTCAAAGAATGCTTTTGTGATACTACGTAATAGATTACAGAGTGTTAAATTTAGAAAAAATTTAGTAGGAGTTTTTAAATTGTCATTGCTAACGTAAATACTGTGACCCTAAAACAGAAAAGTCAAGGAATAAGAATATTCTCAATGATAAATTTATAAAACTATATAGATTATTTGTATCATGATATATTTTATTATTTAAATCTTTTTGTGGGAACTTTAGAAGTTGGCTTGCCCTGAGAACAGCAAGCGTTCAGTTCTGCATGGTAATTTTTTTTTTTTTCTCACAAAGATCAAATTTCTTTTTTGACGAATTTAATTTTCTGACACTTCCTAAATTTGTAAACTTTCTCTTATAATACAGGGGGGAAAAGTTGTTCCATGTAGGCATGACTGGCATCAGACAGGGGGTGAAGTCACCATTTCAATATATGCTAAAAATTCACTTCCAGAACTTAGTCGAGTAGAAGCAAATAGTACATTGGTAAGTATATTAAAATAAATATCTTTGAGTAAGAATTGTTTCTACACATTATTTCTATTAATTTTTATAAAATATTGCTCTAGCTTGGGCTGGTTTTAAGATTTTAAGATTTTTCCATTTGAAAAATAATTTCAATTACTTTCACAAAAAGTATTTTAAATGAAAAGCTCTGTCTAATGGGTCTTTTTTTTTTTTTCCTTGAAGCATTCTGGAGCTATACTAGCTTAGAATATTTATCAAGGAATAGAATGGTACTTAGTTCTCAATATAAAACTTCAAGTCAGTTTTTCTCAGGTGGAAAAAAATAACAATATTGGCAGTTTCTTACATTCTTACGATAGCTTAATTAATTTTTATCCAGGTCTTTGTGTTTTTATAATCAGTGTTTTGTAAAGTTTCAGTTTGAATTTGATCAATTAATTGACTTTCTGTGTCTTTTTCAGTTAAATGTGCTCATTGTATTTGAAGGAGAGAAGGAATTTCATCAAAATGTGAAATTATGGGGTGTAAGTATTATGCAGCCAACAGAACTTTTTTCTGTTAATTTAAAATATCATTTGTAAAATAAAAGGTAGTACTTGAGTAAGCATTGATACACAGTAGAGGTATACGTAGGGCAAGATATCAAGAAGTTTTGGTGTAAAAATGGCCTTGGAAGCTTGGGGGTTTAGGATATTAGCAAAGGCAAGATTAATATTTTTATCTGAGACTAATAAAACTGTGTTTAATTCTCTTTGAAATGTTGCAGGTGATTGATGTAAAACGAAGCTATGTAACTATGACTGCAACAAAGATTGAGATCACCATGAGAAAAGCTGAACCTATGCAGTGGGCAAGTCTGGAACTGCCTGCAGCTAAAAAGCCAGAAGAACAAAAAGAAGATATAACAGATTGAGTGGGAGGAAAGGAGAAAAAAACTTAACTTTTTATTTCAGAATTCCTAATCTTGCTGAAATGGTAGCTTGCTACTGTAACCTTTTGTTTTCATTGAAGTCTGGCATTTCAGGGTTAATAGTAGGTTCATAAAAACCAAAGTCAGATTGTCTTTGTGCCCCACCCCCCATCTTCTATTTGAGTTACTGGAGTTTAAATTGTTTATTTCTCCTCAGTAATAGAACCATAGGTATGTTCTATACTTGAAGAAGCTAGAAAATAGCTCATAAATATAATTATACAGTATTTCTTAGTATAAGCAAAGAAATATTAAAGAACATTTGTCTTTGTTCACTTCTGTTTCTGTTATCCCACAGTTAGTAAAACAAGATAGAATGTCAATTTTTAATAATTTTTTCATGGATTTTTGTTCCTATAATACTTGAAAATCTTTAAGAAAGAGATAAAGTTCTGCATTGTTTTTTTCCGCTTGGAGCGGTTATGTTTTCTAGAAGAATTCTAAGGTAGTATAATAAGTAATTAAAGAGCAATATATACATTGGTTAAAGTTAAAATTCATTTACAACTAGCTGAATTTAAAAATTACATCAATAACCTGATCACTTGCCCAGCAGTATAATTTAAGAGTATAGGAGGCATTGTAAATAAAACTACAGAGGTATCAGTTTCGTTAAAAGTCACCGTTTTATAAGGCTAAGCAAAAATGTTAAACATCTCTTTCCTGATTATTTAAAGGTCTTTGTATGGGGTTATAACTAGGGTGTACCTGATTTGCAGCCTATATCCTCTTAAAACCTTTATTAATTAGTTACATATTAAAAAGAAATTGTATCGGGCCTTATTGATGGAATACTATATAGAATGGTAGACTTAAAAGCTTGTGGAAATACAGTAGAGTATCAGAAAACTAAATATATAAGCTTTGCTTTATAACAATTATACTACCTGTTAGAAAAATACTTTAATTCTTTTGGAGTCTTTTTTTTTTTTTTTTTTAGGATTTCATGAAAAGCTTGACAATTCTAGCTGACACAATGTTGAATATATATTACACTTTATTTCTTTTAAATCTAGGTATCACAGAATTAGATTTTTTATGCTAGTTGAACCCACTAAAGAACAGGTTACTTTTTGAAGCAGTGCAAAGCTAAAGAAGAAAATTAAAATCAAGAAATGTTATGAAGGCCATAACTATCAGAATTTAAGTTTGGGCATGAATTGCATAGATTAAAATTATTCCCCAAACCCCTTGAGTGTTTTTCTTTCCTTAGTATTAGTGGAATTTGCAGAAGTACAATTTCGTTTAATAGATTAAGGTGTTGGTATATATCCTTCTACAACCCTTAGTAAATAATTATTAGATGTTGTTATATAATTATTAAAACGGTTTAGCTCTGTTACAAATATAGAGTCAAAAAATCTGGCAACCAGCAACAGCTTACTATTATGATATCAACATATGATGGCAACAAATTTGGGGCAATAAAATCCAGATCCAAATAGAGTATATAAAGTCTAGTACTTAGGGAAGGTTATATTTAAATTTTTTTTAGAAGTTATCATGATTTAAGGACCTGGGTTCATTTAGGGACACAAAAGCTTGTTTATTGTTTGTGAGGAGATGTTGGTACTTCATTTGATTCAAGGTAATGATTCGTATGCTTTTATTTTAATGTTGCTTTCTTGAAATTCTTTTCCCCTAAACAGTATCATAGTATGTTATATGATATTGAACTATTATTTAAACCAAGTGGCTTGTCCACCTCAGACTTACAAAGCACTGATTGTTTTTTTTTTTTTTTTAAATATTATGGATTAGTCTGGTTACATTAGTGACCATTCTGTTTACTTTCTTATTCCTAAGAATCTCTGAATTTGTTACCCAGATAAAAATCTGAATGACACTTGTCTTAGACATGTAAATACAGGGATAAAGTTATGGTTAGGTAGAATATGTTTTACTCTATCACTCTGTCAAAAAATTAATAAAAATTTCTTAAGTTAACTTTATTGAGTCCTTTCTCAAGAAATAATGGCTATGTTTTTCTTACCATTTAAAGTTAATTACTATAGTAAAGCATGAAGTCTAGATTTCGTCTTTTGGTGACTAGACTGATGGCTAAACTCAGCATGGGAAACTTGAAATGTTATTTTTCTTGCCTAGCACATTTGGTATAACATAAAGGAAGTAATATCCTAAAAGTTGAGTTTTTTTATTTTTTTAACTTTATGTTGGTATTATTTTAGATTTGCAGAGAAGTTGCAAAAAATAGTACAGAGAATTATCATATAGCCTTTAATCTTCCCCTTATGTTAAAATCGTGCATAACCATAGAACATTTACAAAACTAAGAAATTAGCCTTGATACAGTACTATTAGCTAAAGTAGAACACTTGATTTTAAACATCTATTTTTAGTGGAACTCTACTAAAGGGTAGTTCTTGAGACCTGTCCTAAGTTATTTTTTTTTAATTTCCTTTTATAATTAAGTCAATAATTTGTAAATAATTAAAAATATAAATAAATCATCCAGCCTTAAATGACTGTTTGCAGGTGGGTAATTTTAACTTCCTGGTATGACCACATGCTGGCAAAGAACCGTAATGATTTTATATTTTATGCCAGAGATTTTAATTCGTTTGTTTTCTTTGTTTTATTAAGTTTTACTTGGCTTCCTTTAGGCAATTCTTTAGCCATCTAAAATAGAGAACCTTAAAGGGTTTCTTACAAAGATTTTAAGATGACTGGACTATTAGGCCCCACCAGCTTTTTTTTTTTTTAATCAATGATTTTTTTAACCTGAAGATGCATGTCATGTACACATCCACAGTAAATAAATTTTTAAAAGCTCAGTTATAACGTCTGGTTTCAGTTTTAAGTTATAGTCTGGTTTCAGTTTTAGGGCATCTGGGTATATATTTTTTATATATATATATATATATATATATATATTTTTATTTTTTTTAAGCAGCCAGGTTACTTTTAAGTTACCTACTAACCTAGACTATTAATAGGTTATATTTTGGTTTTATTGAAAATAATTTTGATGTGGAATTCATATTTGGTACAGTCATGCATCGCTTGACATCCACAATATGTTCTGTAAAATAGGACATTATGTGATTGGGATGTGCAAATACCATATTACATACTTAGCAAAAGCTATGTGGAATACTGTAGTGTACTTGTATTGACTAAATAGTGAAGATGCAGTACACATACAGTACTATATTTCAGCTAATGTATCTGGCAAATGACCTCCCTCTACAATTAGTTAATCTAAGGTTGCAACAAATTCTGCTGTCTTCACATCAGCACTCGCAGACTCACCACTTGCTGTCACGTTATGCAGCGAAAAACAAAGTACGTGAACCATCCAGAGCTAGCACTAAATTCGATACTGTAGTCTGGTCCTGCTTTCTCTTTAAGTATCTCAAACAAGCTTCATGCCTTCGCAGTGATAGCATGCTAACGAGGATTCACTTTTGTGTTTGGTCCTCAATCCACGTCGTTAGCAGTTTCTCCGTATCTGATACAGGTTCCTCTCACATTTTCATGAGCTGTGTAGCTTTTAGTGGAGCCCATCCTTTAATAGCTTGGGGAATTTTTTCATTGTTTTTGAGGATTGTTGAGTGCAACATGTCTAAATCTAAAGAAATGGCATTTGCTGATTGTCTTTTATCTTGGTGTTGTTTAATAACCTATTGTTTCACTTCCGAATCGATACATTTCCTTTATCTCTTGGTGCTGCTGTCACTGGAACTCGTTTTGCTGCATTTGGGAGCCATGATGTACTTCACAGTATTTTTGAAAGAAAACGCTGCAGCACTCAAGAAACACGATAACACTAGATTTGCATGCTGCGGCCTATGAGTTGAAGCATACACTGTTACACGGTAAACTTTTTTATTTGTAAGTAGGGAAAGTTCAGATGAAAATAACTAGAAAGTACAGTACATACATAAGCCAGCAATATAAGCATTTATTATGACTACCAAGACACATGTATTATAGGTTATGTATGTGCTGTATCATTATATGCCTGGCAGCGGAATCGCTTTGTAAAGGAGACATGAGATGTGAGTGGAGAGCTGTTGAATTTGCTACATCCAGTTACGTCAGCTACATTGTGCTCTCCGAACAGGATTTCTGAGACCTGTCATAACCTTATGGGACCACAGACATAATATGTGGTCAGACGTTGCCCAAATGGATGTTATACTATGCATGACTGTATTTAGTTTATATTCTTTTTCCTGTATCATGATTCCATGGCATTTCAGAAATGCAAACTTAACTCCAGCTTGTGTTTAGGTCATAACTGCCAAGCCATTGACAGTCATGTCCCAGCCCAGTTGATGCACAACCTTAACAGTCACACATGGTTTGTCTTTTTAACCATAGATGCCTAGAGCTTTATAAATGCAACATTACCCTTAAAACACTGGTCTTGCAAAAGTTCTTCTCCATAGCTATTTTTTATTTTAGTGACTTTTTATATAGATTTTGGTAATGAGTGTTCTTTCAAGACAGCATCTAGAAAGAAGCTCAATAAAGACACAGTAGATCTAAGTGCCACAGTCAACCAACTTGATCTCATAGATAGATAACCCATCAGCAACCAAGTATTCTTTTCCAACACACGTGGAACGTTCCCCAGAACAGACCACATATTAGGCCACAAAGCAAACATTAACAGAATCCGAAACATCAAAATATTACAGAGCATTTTTTATGACCATAAAGACAAAAGTAGAAATCAATAACAGAAAAAGCTAAGAAAAAAAATACATGGAAACTGAACAACACCTTGCTTATAAACTACTGGGTTACAGAAGTCATCAAGGATGGAATAAAATTCATAGAATCAAATGAGAATGAAAACTCATCAGAACATTTTGGGCACAGCAAAAGCAGGGCTCAGAGGTGAATTCATAGCAATAAATGCACACATCCAAAAAGAAAAAAGGGCCAAAATCTAAACATTAACCCTATGACTCGAACACATTGAAAGAGCAGCAAAAGAAGCTCTAGGGCACCAGAAGAAAAAAATTAGAGCAGAAATAAATGAAGTAGAGAACAGAAAATTGAAAGTCATCAAGACCAAAAGCTGGATCTTTGAAAATATCAACAAAATTGATAAACCATTGGTGAAACTGACAAGCAAATCACCCAAATAAGAAATGAGATGGATGGCATCACAACACACCCAACTAAAATGAAAAGAATCATAACAATACTGTGGAAAATTGTACTCCAACAAATTGGAAAACCTAGAGGAAACAGACAAATTTCTAGAAACACTACCTACCTAAACTAACACAAACTGCGGTAGAAAAAATAAACCTGTAACGAGATTGAAGAGGTAATAAAACTCCCAACAAAAAGCCCTAGCCCTGATGGCTTCACTGGAGAATTCTACCAAACTTTCAGAGAAGAGTTAACACCAGTACTGCTGAAGGTATTTCAGAGCATAGAAAAGGATGGAATACTCTCAAACTCATCCTGTAAAGCCAGCATTACCCTGATACCAAAACCAGGTAAAGACACCACAAAAAAAAAATTACAGACCGATATCCCTCATGAACATAGACACAAAAATCTCAACAAAACTCTAGCAAGTAGAATTCAACGGCATATCAAAAAAATAAGTCATGATGACCAAGTGGGATTCATACCAGCTATGCAAGGATGGTTCAACATTATAAAAACAAAGTAATCCATTACATAAATAATACAGAAGAGCTGCATGATCTTATCAATCAATGCAGAAAATGCGTTTGACAAAGTCCAACACCCATTCCTGATAAAAACTCTCAGCAAAATAGGAATAGAAGGGAAATTCCTTGGCATAGTAAAGGGCATTTATACAAAGCCATTACCAACATCATCCTAAACAGAGAGAGTGTAAAAGTATTCCCCTTGAGAATGGGAGGCAGACAAGGATGCCCTGTATCACCACTCTTATTCAACATTGTGCTGGAAGTCCTAGCCAGAGCAATAAGGCAAGAAAAAGAAAGGGCATCCAAATTGGTAAGGAAGAAGTAAAAGTATCCCTATTTGCAGATGATATGATCTTATACACAGAAAACCCCAAAGAATCTAAAAGAAATATACTGGGACTAACAGAAGATTTCAGCAAAGTATCAGGAAACAATATAAAGGCATGATAATTGCTTGGATTCCTCTGCACCAACAAAAAGAACTTTGAAAATGAAATCACCAAATCGATACCATTTTACAATAGCCCCCAAGAAGATAAAATACTTAGGAATCAACTTAACCAGAGACATAAAAGACCTATACAAAGAAAACTACAAGACACTACAGCAAGAAACCAAAAGAGACCTACATAAGTGGGAAAACATACAATGTTTATGGATAGGAAGACTCAACATTCTGAAAATGTTGATTTTACCCAAAGCAATCTACAGATACAATGCAATCCCGATCCAAATTCCAATGACATTTTTTATGAGATGGAGAAACAAATTACCAACTTCATATGGAAAACGAAGAGGCCCCAGATAAGTAAAGCATTACTCAAGAAGAAGAACAAAGTGGGAGGCCTCACACTGCCTGAGTTTAGAACGTATTATACTGCCATGGTAGTCAAAACAGCATAGTACTGGCTGAACAAAATTCTAGCCAATAGAATTCAGCATCA